CGTTCCGGAGGGACTTAGCTATCAAAACATAGATTTTTCTAAGTGGTCCCAAGCGGGAATCAAAATGGTAAAGTAACATTAAAATGCTTCATACCATAATAATTATAATGATGCAAAACAGTCACAAATAATATCAAAAAATACTTTTCATGAGATACGTTAAAATTGATTATTTTTGAACAAGTCAAAATCGTTTGAAAATTGACAATAACTCTCTTTCCGTCATCTAGTTTCTCGCTGTCTGTACGATTCGAAATGCGTTGTCGGTATCTTTGCTAACATTTGATACAATTTATTCACCAAAATCATACACGAACTAACAATGGGCTACAGAAAATTGAAGTAAAAATATTTTACTTCCCAGTAAATATTAAGAGACATTTTCAAATGAGGCGTCAAACAATGAGACGTATCAGTTCTTTGCTGATGATAATAAATGTTACGTGAGTTTAACAACAATTAGAAGTATATTATAATAAAATGAACATCTTCATAAGTTTGGAGTCTTTACAATGAGTGGAAGTTACAATCATTACCTAGAAGATCATCTATCAGTCTATATTCGTTGCTAACAACGCTACTTAAAGATTCGTCACAATTTTTATTTAGACAAGGAAGAGAGAGTCTTGTCAAAAAATAGTTTCAATAAACGATCTTTATAAAAAAAACGACCTCTTGATTTTAAAGTACAAAAGTTTTCATTTTCAATCTATTAGACTCTCAATTTATATTCATCGAAAGTGATGGAATGTGTTCAGTTGACAATATTCAATTGAAAATTGAGCAAAAACTAATATAAATCCATTAACACTCAATAAATATAATTTAAGAAGACGTTAACTTAGACTTTCTCTTTGTTTGTGAACTTTTACACTTTTATCAATAGAATAATGTATTACTTCTTTTGTTTTATATCAGCTGATTCGACTATTTTTATCGGTATCAAACACTGGACTGTTATGCATAGGAAACGTTAGCAGTATATTCGCATATATCTTGCTAATATTCACCCTGATACTTGTATTCATTCTCTAAGTGGATCTATGATCAATGAATGAAAGCTGAGTTTTTGGATTTATATTATCAAAATGTTCTCTGTTAGATTAGCATTGATTTTCTAATTGATGATATTGAATTTATAAGTAAATTAACGGTTGAGTTTCAGATAAATCTCGCATGATTGAATTCCGTTTCAATAATTTGATACTCGATTGCATATGATGATTAAATCAGATTTTATGATGATGTTATCAGAGACAAAAAGATCTAATCGATAGAATCTGCTGTATGCGACTTGATTCAGTAATCTTCTGAACCGAAAAATGGCCTACACATTTGTATTCATTTGTATTATTGCTACTGTCAATCAAATAATTTACATTTTTCGATTCTATGTGTCGTCATCCTCGTAGATGAGTATTGATGCACCTCTATCACATAGTGTAAAAATACGTTACACTTCGTTGTGATTGTTGATTATTGACGGAAGAAGAAGGAAAAAGGAAAAAAAAATATGATTGTTGTCTTCATTTCTGATGAAACACATGACTTGATATCATGATAGATTGGCAATTTGCAGAGGTAGCAATTTGTTGCAAGATGATATCTCTTGAGGGTATGGGAAAATTCCTTGAATGGGTTTAATCCTGGATTTACTTCAGAGAGAGATTATAAAAGGAGTACACACGTCAAAAGTTGTTTTAGTTGTGTGATAAGTGATTAAAAAGGCAAGACCATTATTTGATCTGACAATAACTGCAACGAAAAATAGGAAGGTAAGCTGGTCGAAAAGTGATAGCTTTTATTGCATCAGCAAATGTTCAAATGTATTCGGTATTTTCATTTTTTTAAATTCATAAGACAATCGATGCCAAGGGTTCAAGTTTTAGAATCTTTATGAAATTACGCTTCGTTGAGATAAGCTTTCCCACTAATGTTGATCTCATTTTTGACTATCTCCTGCAAAATCGTACATCAAAGAGAATAACTAATTTATGGTACTCTTTTGAAGACGTCCTTGTATTTGCCATTTATTCATACACATCTATAACGCAATTTGCTGTCACTATTCGTACAGCGAATATGGCAGATGAGAAGGTGTCTGTTTGTGAGTACATTCGTCTGCGTAAGATTTAATAATAACAGAATTTAGTACTGCAATGGCAATCATTACATAGATCGAATTCGAATTTGTAGACAGAGATTTTCATGCTTTCAATTTTTTGTTGTTATTCTGCTTGTTGTACTGGTGGAAACAATTGATACAACAAAGTCAAAATATCACATTGTTAAGTTCTTTTATATTCATAGATTCACTTTTAAGCATTTTCATATAACTGTAAATATGAATAAAAACAAATATTGTCGATAATTTGTTATATACATTTCGAACATCAGGGAAGGGAGGTATGTTTAGATTTTCAAAAATGTACATTTCCGATATCAGTATGTTTTTCTGCATCGTATTTATACAGATTAGAGATTGAAATACAAAAGTTCTCGCAAAATTTCCCCAATCAATTAGAAATTTTGGAAACATTTCAATCGCTGCCAAAAAACTTTCAGAAAACATTCGTAATTACTTAAAGAGTTCAACGAGATTTTGACGTAATTTTCGAAAATACAAACATCTAACAAGGAAATAATATAGAAATTTCGAAAAATAATAACACACAAATAAAATACTTTTCGCCAATTTTCCACAAATCTTCGTATTTACTCAGAAATTACTAGGAAATTTCAAAAATCTTATTATTTTTATATAGAATCTGTACACACTAATGTTAATAAAATTATGAAAACTCCTATGATTTCCAGTATTTGTCGTAATTTCTATAATCTACAGTAACTACTGTAATTTTATCGTAGTTACGGAAAATTTTTCTGCTTTTTTTAGAATGAGTTTGTTTATTCCTATGGACTCATATTTGTCATGTTCGCATACTAAAATTAATAAAATTCTTGAGATTTCTCTAATTTGTTGATGATTTCTGAGTAAATACGGAAAATTCGTGGAAATATGACAAGAAGTATTTTGTATTCGTGTGTCATTATCTTTGGAGATTTCTCTACAGTTTCCTAGGTAGGTTTATGTATTTTCTAGGTATGTTTCAGAAATTTCCTGTATTATACTTTTAAGAAAAAAAATGATAAATGCGGAAATTTCTTCGTAATATGCTTATTATGTGTTCGTAGTTTCTGAAATTTGATGATTTCAGAGAGAAATTTACTTCTTTAGAAATTTGAACACTACTGTAATAATCAAACAATACATTAGAAAATACGTTGATTTCATTCACAATTAATGTCGAAACACTTCTGCAATAAAATCGATAGAATACTTTGATATTTTTTTCTTATAAAGTGTAAAACACTAGAAAGTCGAGGTGTTTTTCACTCATTTGAGGGATCGTTTTTGAATATATATAGAGATCAATAGATTTCCATACAGCGAACATTTTCGTACATTTTTTAAATAAAGCTTACAACATATTAGAAGATTCTCTGCAAGAAAATATCCTCTCACAATAGAAAACCCTCTTTGAATACACAAGGTAAAAGACAGTTTAGAAGACTCTTTAAGAATCAATTTTTTAAAATGATTTTTACAACTGAGTGGTTTTTTTTAGCGCTGATATGCTTATTAATACCGACACCTCTGAACAAAAAAGAGAAGCTACTTTTGTTTAGGAGTATAAGTCGAATATGGACGATATTTTGCTCCATCGTCTCAGTGACATGTCAACTCTAAGTAAAACGACTTCTAAAAAACAGTTAATAGAAAAGAACAGTTAGCTAAAATATCTGTTTCTTCATTAAAAAAACATGTCTTTGGCACACTTTAATACCCCTTTGAGGCATTCTATGAAGAAACTTTTGAAGATTTTCTTCACGAAAAACATCATGCCAACGGTGACAGGACATAATTAACGTAGTACACATCCAAACGTGTCACGTACGAGAGAATCTTTTTGAAATAGGAACATATTTAGTAAAATTCCGTCATCTATTACGTAAAAACCATCGCTTGGTCTATACACTTTCTTGCAGAAATTCGGTCACGTTTTTATCATGGTATACCTGAAGACGTATTTTTTTTCGCAGAAAGATACGAAGGTATTTTTCGAAACAGACACAGAGAACTTCAAAACATCTTTAAAGTGTATTGAGCCGCTCTTTTTCACCTGTTTTTTTCGTAGACAACCATATTCATTCAAGTTAACGAAGATGTAATAATTAAACTGATAGCACATTTCATCCTGAACAAATTCTATATCTATACTAGTCAAATCTCCACATAAGCAACCAACTTTAAAAAATTCTTACAAACAAATATTTAATTTTCTTTCTTTCCGCTATTTAGCTGTACAGAACGATAAATATCAACAGTGACAGATTTTATTCTTTAGAAAAAAATAATGCTTACACATTATACCAAAATGGTAAGATATGTTTGTCTGTATTGCTTGAAGAACGTTTTCCTCGCAAATGATTGTTTTCTGTTTCTTTGCACTAAAGTATTATCTGTTTCGCTTCTATTGTACGAGCGTGGGATAAATACAATAAACTTGTCTACTATCCATGCCATCAAAATCGCCTATGTTTTGACGACATTATCAATGTAATAGGGTGTGGGTGTGGGTGTGGGTGTGGGTGTGGGTGTGGGTGTGGGTGTGGGTGTAGGTGTGGGGTGTGGGTGTGTGGGTGGTAGTTTGCAGTTCCTTCACAGCCACAGCCACACACCCTCATCCATACCCATACCCCCACCCACACACCTACACACACCCACACACCCGTTCAAAAAGGTAAGCAAAAACACTATCACCGAAAGAATTCGATGGGATGTGAGTGTGGGTGTTGTATTCATAGTATTCACGCCCACACCCTCATTCCCCAGCTTTCCTAGTTATGAATCTTTAAATATTTTGCTACGAACATTATTGCAATAGCACTCAACATATCCTGATAATAATTTATTATTACTTAAAATGAGTACAACATTATGGACAACGACAAATATCAAAACCATGTTGAATATCAGAGGCATTCAGATGATCATAATAAAAATAAGAACATGTTACACTAGGTCCATTAGGACGACGATGCCAGCGTGTGTACTCACATATATCACTAGACTCGCCACGATGAAAACGCTCATTATCACGATCAATATTACCATCATAGTACCAATCACAACATTTACCACAGTTAGGACAAGCATTACCGCGACACAGAGCCTTTGCCAGTGCAGGTAATGAGTTGTTGGATGCGGCGGATGGTGTCACATCTAATAGAAAATATACACAATACATTGAATCATATTGAATGCAGATATCTGTTGACAGACTTTGGGTATTATTGAAACACGATATGTTAAGAGTATAGGTAACGAATGATACTGGTAAGAAAAATTGATTTGAAAAATACTTCTAGTAACTGACAATAAACTATGCCTAGGACAAAATTTCAGACAATTTCAACTTGATCTTCGTATTCTAGGAAAGATTAACTGTCACTGCTCTTCACATTCAGAGTTTTTATTATCAAAATACAAAACCATTCTTGGTACTGTATTTGCCGACAAGAGGTACTATGATAACTGAGTGACTCTCTTAAAGTACTATCTATACAAAGTCTAAACAGAGACCGTGATAGGTGATAATGACAAGAATCACAATCATAAATAGTTTCTGTCGGCATAGAAAGTACTGCTATGTTCAAGAATGGTTTTGTATTTGATACGTCAACCATAAAATTCTGTAGACTACTTAATCAATGGATGTGGATTCAGCTGAAGTAATTGTGAGTTCAATATTATCTACGAATACATTTACTTCGATTTAGACCAATCTATACCAAATCAAATCCTAAGTTTATATCTTTTCCTACATTTTTGATTATCTAAAACTGAGAATGAGACGCATAATACCAAATAAATTAAGTCGACTGTTACACTCTAAAAAAATAAGTGCAATACCGAACCGTAAAAATGACAAAAAAAGTTTCGACGGAACTACGAAACCTAAAAAGGTTCTTCCTCCGGACACAAACTCGAAACCCTTTGTATGAAACTTTTTTAGGTTCCGTAGAACAATAAATGATTTCGCACAGAAAATACGAAACCTTTAGAGTTCAGTACGAAACACTTGACGTTCGATGCAAAACTTATAAGGTTCTATATGAAACTTCGAAGGTTTCGCATTATCCGTACGGAACCATTTTTCGTTCTACGGAGTCTAAAAAAGTTTCATACAAGGGGTTTCGAGTTGGTGTCCAGAGGAAGAATCTTTTTAGGTTTCGTAGCTCCATCGAAACCTTTTTTGACATTTTTACGGTTCGCCATTACACTTATTTTTTTTAGAGTCTAGATGTAACAATACCAGAAGATTTTTTTGTTGCAGCCATTGATGATACTTCATTATAAGATGGTTGTACAAGCGATGCGCGGCCTCCCGTCCTAGAAAGTTGAACGAATAGACACCAAGGAAAAGGAGCATGGAGATGATCCACTTCCATTTCGTCTTGTTCTTTACTGTCTTCATTAACTATGCTCAATCGGTGTTCATCACAATTCAATGTCAACGCAAATATAACATTGTTTCTGCCGCATATTCCTAGTCTACTAGAAGCATTTACTCCATTGCACTTGCTCGAGCCACTTGACCACCAACCGTATGTAGAAGGGCTCGAATCGTAGGAACCCCCAGCAAACGCCTTCGGTATAGGCACTATATTCCGTGAGCGAATGCCCAAAAACACCAAGTCATGATGTACTCTTATTCGAAGACAATGAATACCAGAAGAATACGAGTGCTTGCCCAGCGTACATCCAAACGACCCCACTTTGACCGTTTCACATGTTCGTCCGTCGTCCACTATTCGAATCGCATCTTCATTAGGTCTATAAATTTCTTCAAATTTTTCATCGCTCACTATATTCACAATGGTAGACTTCGTTGACGATGCGCAAGTCGCAGTCATATTTTTTTTGCCCTTCTACTCAATAAAACACGCTAAAACGATAAAATGCCTTCTTTTTGTATTCCTTTGCGTTCTTAGTCACATTTACTAGCTTACCATTTCTCTCACTCGTTCGCTTGTCACTTCACAGAATGGGGATCATGACAAAAAACGAGACTCAAAAGCGACCGTTTCTTTTCTTCCTTCATTCGGAAGAAAACTTCAAAAAAGTGGTTGTTGATACGTCATGCTACGCATATATATATTTTGTCTTATTTATCCAACGAAGGCGCACAACTTTCTTCCAAGATACGGTGGCGAGAACACTTGTAGAGCACAAACCAAAAACAAACCGAACTATAGGGTTTTCATGTGTGTGTGGATGTGGGTATCTCTTCAGCCGATGCTCACACCCACACTCAGATCCACACACATCCCACACCCTATATCTCTAATCAGCATCCCAAACCTTGCAAGGTTCAATGACTATTGGGTTATTATCAAGAGAAAAGTTTTTTTCGATATTCCCATAGTTACTCTCAAGGGTGTGGGTGAAATTTTTTTTCATTTTTTTCAACAACTATGTGGCATTCTCTATTCAGGATCCTGCCTTGATTCTTGTCGGGTAGCAATTTTCGAGAAAGAAAAACGGGAGAGGGAGAGGAGAAAGAAAATGGTCTTATACAGACACGTTCTTAGCTCTAGTAAAAAAACAAGCACTTTCTACCAGAAAATTCTATTTTAGTTTCCTTTTTTTTCTCAACAATGCATTTAAAAAATAAGCAAAAACAAGTTGGCATCCAAATGGTGTCAAGCTTTGGTAAAAGAAGTGTCAACATGGTTGGCCCTACCTTCTTTGCGGTAAAGAGTGAAAGCTAAAATCATTATGATCCCTTAAGACCACCATATCTCCCAGAAGAAAGTACCCTTGAATTTTGAGTCTATGACGACTTTTCATGTACTGGTCGAGATCTAGTTATTCTGGAAGTTTCAGAAGTTTCTGTTCTATCGTTCTTCAAAAACAGTTGAAAAGGTGTGTAGATTTTCTTGGACTCACAAAAATTCTCAATAAATTCAAAATATTCTCCTGGCGTTGCTTTAGGATTTTCAAATTTTCTTGAGCACCGTTTGATAGATATAGGTAAGTACTCTCATAAAGAAAAGTTTGGGTGCAGGTTTGCTATTAGGAGAACATCCGCTCGACACCCACACCCACCCCTTGCCTTATCTTTCTATCCTGGTTTTTCATGTTTTTTTGTGCTTAAAATTGAAATGTAGAGCCCTGATAAGTGGGGGGTGTGGGTGTGGGTGTGGGTGTGGGTATGGAGCGTGGGTGTGTGTTGAGGGTGTAGGCGTAGATTTATATCTTCTGGCGCCATCCATACCCACACCCCCACACCCACACCCTAATTCGGTTTTTCCTAATTCATCTTTTTATTACCTAATATGTTTTATTTCAAAAATCAAAATACACTGCAAGATGCAGCCTGAAAAGCTCTACAATTTACAAAGAACAATTATAAAAAGATGAGATTGGAAAAAAACAAATTTATCTTTTATCAAAAAACCATCTGGTTTTCGCAACATCGAAATTTGGTCGCTCAGAATGTTGTCCATTTTGAAGACAAAAAGTGCAACTACAAAATAAACAGTCCTTCATATATTGTAGAGCTTTTCACCCTGCATCTTATGGTATATTTTGTTTTTTAATACAATGTATTAAGTGATGATAAAATGAAATGCAGAAGTGTTCCATTTTTTGTGCCACATCCATTATGATCTAAATGGTACCAGGTAGTTTTCAACAAAAACAGTTCTTATCAAAATTTTATGATTATGATATCAGTTGAATAGGGATCAAATAGCATAGAAAAATAGAGCAAAAGACGCTCTATCTATTCATAAAAAAGGAAACTTTTCTTAAGCCTTCTATACGAAATTAAGATGCGGTGGCCACTACTTTTGGTATGCCCTAAGTAAAACGACAACCACTAAAATCATCATTAATTCTTCGTTTTGTATTATTACTATTTGATTAATTCTATGATAATAGTGACAAAATACAATGCGTTCTTTCTTTTTTTTTGAAAGAGATACAGATGGAGAAAATTAAATTAAATGTATATAAGAATAAACAAAAGTGAATTTAATTTAAGGTTTTTTTCTCTTAATCATCAAGTTGACAGAAAAATGCAACAATACGTTTTATCCAATGTTATTCTAATTAATTTGTTTACTGGACATTCATATGTTCCTTCGGTATTTAATTCATTTGTTTCAATTAGTTTTACTCAAATAGTTAGTATAAAATCATATAGAACTTTTGGAAATTGTTCATCAAGTAAATCTCTAAATAAATAATTAAATAAATTATCCGAAGTTGTCAATCGATGAGTATTTTGATATGTAGATTGAAGCCTTCGGATGGGCTCATAAAATTGAAAACTGTTCGCCCATTACGGACTAGTCGACCTATCTGAAAGGAACAATCCGAAGGGTCAATCTGAAAATTCGATGAGTCAAATTAGCAGGACTTCGAGTCAGAGGTGTCCATGGCAGTGCTGCCGGTGCCGCCGTGGCTGTCGCGTTACGGTAGCTTTCGTTTTTCTGAAAAGCCTGGGGCGTTAGCGTCACGGCATCATGTTTTTTAGACGACAGCGGTGTGGCAGCGGCGAATTCTCAGTCGCGATGGACATCTCTGCTTCGACTAGTCGATTTTTCGAGCACTCGAAACTTTTACAAATTTTCAAAAAATTTTTCTTTTCTGTATTCCATTTTTTCTGATCCTTCAATACCTATCGGATTTTTTTTCTGAATAGGAGATTCGCATATATGCACTTATGATTAAGAAGTTTGTATAGATCAGATGAACTAAATATGATTTTTTAATTTTAGATAAATGTACGTGTCTTCATGATATATATATATAA